GAAACTGAACACGAGCCCGTCTTGTTCGATCAGCAAGTGTCAACAGCTTAACGTCACAGTCTTCAGTCGGTGGCTGCCTCCCCTCAGCATCCATCAGCCACGCCACTAGCACCGCCCCACTGACACCCCTCGGTCTGCAGCATCCCACCGTTTTCATTTCTGCTATTTTTTTAAGTAAAATAACTGCTGCGCTAACCCGTCATGTCCCCCTAAAGTGCCCGAGTTGCGCCACCAACCGGACATCCTCCCCGGCACTTGCCGGGCTGTGGGAGTCCTGTCCACAAATGATGACGTCATCAACGCAGCAGAACGCGTTTTCCCCTAGCATCAGTGCGAAGCAGAAGTCCATTGCGCGTTGGAACTCGGCAGACAGTCCGGTCGCTCGTGGCAGGTGATCCCAGATGCGACGAATGGAGCAGGAGTCCGCTACCGTGGCCGCGTTGTTGTTGATGACGCAACGGCATTCCGCGGTCTCCTTCTCGGTGAAGTGAGGAGCCGCAGCCCACTCGTTTTTGGAGGGCCAATTGCTTCGCGACCTACACCTTCAGCATTTCCAACTCGTCGGGGCAAACCCTGGCTTTGTGCAGGCGTACTGCTACTTCGAACCTTGCTTCGTACTTGGCCCGCGCGACCTTGGCTCTTCCCACGTCTCCTTGAATTGCTCGAGGAGCTTCCAGAGCCGCTCTCAGTGCCTGTCTTCCATGTGCTTGTGCTCTGCTCGAAGAGCCGAGTGCCGGATCCCAGGATCGTATCGCTTCTCGTGCTTTGTCATTATCAGGGCACGCCCGCTCTCTCTCTGTCGCGCTCTCTTAGATCGGTTTCGACTCTCGACTCCCATCGCACCCGACATTCTCAGCCACGGCAAGCGCCCATTCCACTCCGGTCCCAGCGGCCACCTAGGAGTCGGTCCAATCTCTATCCTGCTAGTCCGGCTGTGCCCGCGACGTCAAGAAAATGATCAGAGAGGACCTCGTCTGCGCGAGACTAAAACTACCACCGATACGTCAGGAAGGACCCCAACAGGGACATTGAGGAAAGCCGCCGCCAAGGACGCGTCGGTCGATCGTGTGGGACCGACACACGCAGGAGGCGTTAGCAGAGTATGCTCGTCATCATCGACCAGGCGATCAGATGATGTATGATAGACGCGGCCTCCCGCCTGCACAACGTAAGATCCTACCGGCAGACATTGCGGTCCGACAGCCTGGACATCCACTCCCCGCGCACTCTGGGTTCCTGGTTTAGCCCCGGCTCATCTCCCGGGAAAGCATCTTTCCTATCCCCTCTAGCGTCCCGGCTTCGTCGTCCATCGCTACGACAATGTCGTCAATGTAACAGAGCGTGCTATCTCCTCGAAAGACGCGTCCATAGCGCGCTGAAACTCGGCCGGTGAGCTCTTGATCACGAAAGGTACCACTTTAAACTCAAAAAGCTCAAATGGCGTGACGATGACGACATGTCAAACGTACAGTAAGTACGATGGCCCGCCGCAGTCCCTAAGTGATCCGAGATCCTTGGAATCGGATAGGATTTGTGTTGCATGATCGATCGATCAGAACTACCAGGTGATGTACCTCGCCTTTTACTGCCCTCGGACCAATAATACCCAGCGAAACAAGCTCGTTGAAGCAGTCCCTGTCCAGGGTACCTGGCTTCGACACAGCTATAGGTGCAGTATACAGCCGACCACGCGGGCAGTCCCCGCGAATATTTTATGACAAGAGGGAGTGGTTGCTACCTTTCCAATACGTGTCGGTTGAAGGTGCGCCGGGAAGGTAGCAAGGAGGGCAACGAAGTTCGCGGGTCTGGGTGTACGTAGAAAGATGTACGTCGGCAGATGACTGGCCCGCGGTTGATGGGAGCGCGAGTTGATGGTGCCTGAGTGGCTGAAGGTTCCCCCCAAAAAAGCGACTACACAATTGTGGCGTCTCACGGTTATGATGAGACGCTGATCTGCGGTTGGTTGAGCGACGGCAGACGAGAGGCCCACCGGTTGCCACGGGACGGGGTGGTAAATGACGTGAACGGACCTTCAGGATTCCACCTCAGCCAACCTGGTCAGTGAAACGAACGAACACACACTTGATTGTGTGTCACACATCCGAGAACGTGTTTATGATTAATATTTGTTTCCGGTCATTGGCGGCGGGAAGTTCGTATCGGGGGTTAATGTCTGTAGTCGTTGATTTGGTTAGAAAGATGTCCACGTGTCTGTCACCAAGCTAAGAAGGCTGACGATCGGTGGTGGTAAACCTGGGGCTACTTCTCAAGCAGGAAACGCTGACACAACACGCGTGTGTATCCCGTGCTCAATCAATGTCTACCATGTCCCAAAAGTCGAAAAGACGTACAAAACAACGACCTTAAGCTCTCCGCGGCTCAGCATCAAATAATGTCCGGTTAAATTTACTATTCAAGAGGCCACTCGTCGGGTTCTGGCCACAGTTCGCCGTAGCACTCGAAGAGACATTGTTTGTTCCTGATGTTTTTGTTATCCTTGGCATTAGCATTGGGGATAGATTGCGTTCTGTACGCGTCGCGCAGGCGCGCGTTGAACTTGATGGCTTCGGTCCACCGTCCATATTTACTCCCGCTCTGTTCGATTTCGCAGCTGACACGCGCTATACGACAGACTCGGTTGCTAGTATGGGTGCAGTTATCTGGATCACAATCTAGCACGTCCCGTTTCTGGGTGGGATGCTGAACGGTGATAGCATCTCGGAAGTGTGGCAATTCGGATAATTCATTGTATGACGGCCACAGTCTCTCGTAACCAGGTGCGTGGCGCAAATAGGTACGGGCTTCCTCCCACAAACGATTAGAGGTGCTCTCTGCCGAGCCGCAGACTATCTTGCAGTCCGAAGCGTCAGGCGAATAACGTTTAACCGCATCCTGAACCGCATAGACATCCGCAGATTTAGGACCAAAACGATGGCAAGTACGTTCCCAAATTGGGCACGTTGCGAGTTCGATACCGTCCAGGCAGAATCTGCTTGCCGCTGCATACCAACAACATAGCAGACCATTTCTACCCGGACATGGATCTTGACCGATGCTGTCCAGTTCTCCCCAGACTTTTTCTTTCACCAACTCTGAGCATCCCTCGTCCTGGAGTGCGGCCAACTCCCTTCTGCTCAGCGTCTCTTTCAACGGAGAGTCGGCATTTGAAGGCTCGGTCTCGAAAAATTGCATCTCCACTCCTGCCTTAGAAGTTGCGGCAATATCCGCGGGTATTTCGCGGCATTCGAACTTGCAGGCCTTGACCTTATAGAAATCTTCATCCTTGGTGTTGAATAGGGTCAGGATACTAACCAGATCATACAAGCTCGTCTTATATCCAACCAGATCAATCCGCTGTGGTGAGCCGGCCCCACGAGCCGTGGCCTCACAGCTAACTTCTGCGAAAGCGCAGTCACAGTTTTTGACACGGTCGTGTCTATCACAACTGACACACCACCCGGAACAGTCATCCATGACAGGATAGCGTGCGTCGAGCATCACTTTGAAATCACTCATGTTCGCAACAGAAGGTTCGGCTGTGTACTTCAGAAAATTCCCTTCAGGGTAGCCAGGAATCCCAGGTAAATTCTTGCCGGACTGCTCCCACAAATTCCGCAAGCTTTGCTCTTGACTATCGCATACCACCTTACAATTTCCTCTCCCCCGCAGATAAGTCCTAATAGCGTTCCGGACTGCAAAGAAGTCGTATCCCCATGGACCGCCAAAATGATAGCATTTCGCAATAACGAAACCGTCACGCGTTGCACCTTCAGGTGTTGCACACCGCACTACTCCACTGCTGCCATCACACGGGTATCGACCAAACCCGATGATGTCCACATCGCGCCACCTGGGTGGGCACACGGTCCGGAGTGGGGACAATTCGTGTGGATGCATCTCTCGCTTGAACTGAACGACCTTGAACTTCTTGATCAAATCGAGAGACAACCCTGGGGGGGCCTCGAACCGTTTTTCTGGGGTCCCTGTTCTTGGATCACGTTGCGGGAACACTTCGGGGTTAAAGGGTGCGTAATGAGTGGGGATGAAACGAGGCGCATGAGAAGCCTTCTTCGAAACTGCCTCAGCCCAGAACAGGTCCGCGACGTTCGCCGGGGTGTAATGAGGAGCACCTGTTCGCTTCGTCGTGACGGTTTCCTCGGTCCCCGTACTCGTCTTAATATTCGAGTCGTGTTCGCGGCAGCGCTATTA